TGCATCGACTTTCATTTGAACCAACACTTCCCATATAACGCCCACTGTATAATTCATGATAAAATAATGGAAAATAATAGAGAAAATTAATGTTGCTTCGATATCAGAAGCGGGATCAGTGTTGGTTCAATTGCAAAAAGAACTAACTCTGAGTGAACAATGACGTGCTATGTTTGAACAACAAAATGTCAGTATGTGATATCTTATCGAGGCCTTGCAAATGCCTCAGATGAAGAAGAACGTCAAGTTACGCGAGTTTGACCCTGACAATATGGATACGGACGCAAGATCTTGATTTGCGACTGTAGATTTGTGTTTTTCCGAATACCCTCCATACGGCGGCTAGCTTATTTTAACAGTCAGTAAGGAATTAAAAGGATAAGGGTCGACGTGGCTATCACAATTTGTATACCAGAGAATAACATAGGAAGAGTTCAAGGTGATTTTCAAGGCGAGATTTATTTCCACCGAGACATTGGCTGGTATGCTAATTAATTTTAACACTGACAAACCAAATGAAAAAAGAAACTCGTTACGTACGCAAATCGCCTAATGACGTCACTGACTAATCATTGGAAAGACGCTAGCAAGAATCAGATAGCAATTGCGACTGTCCTTGCTCACTTATGTCAGTTTAATTCGAAATTGCAACGATTGGCCTTTACTACGAAAATTGCTTCGCGAGATCGACTGCAGCAGAGATTGCACGCATTCTCACATTTGAAACGCAAAAAAAGTGAGTCTTAAGCGGTCAGAGTGTAGAAGCAAGGTAAATGACAGTGTGGAACGACCTTCGATGACAGCAACGGCATTGCAGCCTGCAGTGAAGTCTCTGGTGTGCTTCAAATGTGGCAAGCCTGGTCACCTCAGGATCCGGTGCATAAGTAGTGCCAGTCAAGTGGACGGCAGCAATATGGGTGCAACACGAACGGAACGACGCGTGGATGTATGTGTTGTACAACCATCTTCGAATGCTCAATGGCATAGAGGTAATCTGTATTGCTTTTGTTATAATCATGGTACTGAATATTCGTTAGTAAGATAACATTTAGCAGTCAAATTGTGTGGTTAACGATTTTGTCCTTGCAATTTCTAGTATTGATCAAAACGGAATATTCCGCACAGAGTAAAATTTGTTTTGTAACGATTAACGGTCATTCTCTTGAAATCTTTTGAAATATTATGTTTTGCCTAATTATTAGTTACAAAATGGTATCATGATAGAACATGAGATATTGAAAGGTTTTCTATTAACATGACGGCTATAAATTCTTTACACAAAAATTCTAGTAGGTCATGTACCAATAGAGGTCGATGTAAATAATGATCATCATGCCAAGCAAATGTTTAAATAAAGTCGATGGAAACCGATGTAAGCATTCTGACGGCCGTAGTAGTGTCGACCGTACTAGTAACTATTACGTAGTCATAGCCTGGTAAAAGTCGGTCTTTTGAGGAAGCTCAAACTATATAGACCGTGGGTGTGTGATGTGCGTTTAGTTCTGGCGGAGGTCGGGGTCTGTTTTGACCATAGTGTGTAGTCATCGAGAGGATGATACACACGGTGATCCCGTAGTGGATGCACCTGGATTGTGGAGCAATTGTGATTGCTGGTTGGCTTGTAAAGCCGTGGCCTAAGAGTGGTTTACAAAGGTGCTAGTAAATTTGAAAATTAGTTTGATTGCTGAAGTGTTGAATGATGTTGGTACATGGCTCTGGATGACTAATGTTATTAGTTAGATTAGAGATAGTTACAGTGACTTGGAGTTTAAAAAAAAAAACAAAGGTCTTAGCGTTAAAGTTTTTCGTTAGAATAAAGATGATTTAGATTCAAAGTTAAGTTTTATCTGGTCAGGATTGACCGAGTCGAGCAAGTATTTTCGTTGATTATTTGGTTGCAGGCTAACACACGGCTAACACACGAGGGCGTGTGCATGCAGGATGGCCGTGTCGGAGACGGTCATCAATACGGTCGCTAAACGAAGCGCAGCACGACGCCTGAGTGATGGCAGCACCTTCGGTATTATCGCCAACACTCGGCGAGCTTCGTGCTACGACGGAGCCTAGTTAAGGGAGGGGTGCTAAGAGGGCTGGACACTTGCCTTCGAGCCGAGCCAAACTTAGGACCGCTCCACTAGGAACTGTCTTGCGTTCCGTATTGTCTATACGTGGTAATAGTGAAGTGGTATATGGTTGTGTAGTGAAGTGCTGTTTAACTATGTACAAAGTGATTATTGTTAATTTGAAATACAACTGTGATTGCATCGACTTTCATTTGAACCAACACTTCCCATATAACGCCCACTGTATAATTCATGATAAAATAATGGAAAATAATAGAGAAAATTAATGTTGCTTCGATATGTATGTATATATGTATGTATGTATTTGCAACCATGTTAAAAAATATATTTTTTTTACTACAAATTTGATTTAGTTTTCATTGTAATAAATACTTATAGGTACTTATTTTCGATCTTGATATATTGGATGTACTACTATTGTGCACATAAAATTAATCATTTATAGAGAAAAGCAGTTAAATGCTTCATGTGAGTTTTAAGAGCAAATTCCAAAGTTTTAATTGCAATTTAAGTCAGAGAATGAGTTCAGCCACAACCTTTCCCTACGGAACGTAGTCAGCTTTATGTTGTAAACAATCAGATAACCTACTGATACAAGAATATAGCTAATTTTATTTTTATATACTTATTTGTAAATTATTCAATATATTTATTTGCTTCGATCACTTATAAATAAGTTTTAATAAAAGACGCAAAGATTATTTGACGGATATTTACGTGTATACCTAAGGTTATATTAAAGGAATAATTAGTTATTTATATAAATGTATCATGTTCTATCATAAAATATTAGCAATGACGTATAAACTAGCAGTTTCTTCTGAAATTTTCGGCAATGATAGGAAATACCTACATTACATCACGTTTGTCAATTTTATTTGATTCAATGCAAAAAGGGTTGCAATTTATAGTTTTTTCTTACAAACAAACAAATAAACTAACAAATAGATACCTATTATATATCTATTATCTACTTTACTCAGATTTTCAGGTCTCCCAATTTTGGCTGCGCTCCATCTATCAGTGACTCCATAAGTCACATAGCCATTTAATTTTTTTAATTTTATTTAAATGATTTAAACCTGTTTTTTGTACAGTATTTTGATTTGAAAGGATCATTTGTCATCTTGATTAAGTTCTCCTTACACTTCTGACTCAATGATTGTACATTTATTTTCATTTTGAACGTTGAGTTCATTGTGTTACTTGGAGCTAAGTTTAGACGTGTTCCTTTTCTTAGAAATGAGAAGGTACTAAATATAGGTAAAAGCTTTAAACGAAGACTTACATATATGCAAAATGTAAGAAATAAACTTATGTTATTAACTTTTGCAAAGCTTTAACTATTAAAGGATTATAATCCTTAACGAGATTTTACAAAAAAAACTGTGAGAAAATGATGTCTGAAGAAAACAACACAATAGCGTTCTCTATATTAGTAAACGACACGTTTGGCTCAGTTTATAGTGACCCTACTTGCTGTGCCAGCGGTCGCGGGTTCGAGTCACGGTGGTATTTATATTTATAATGTTTGCATTTAAGGTTATATAGTGTTGTTATATATGTATCAATTATTTGGTATCCATAACACAAGCCTCGTTGCTTACCATGGAACCAGATGGTGTTGTGTGTTAATCTCCCAACATATTTATTATTATTATTATTATTATTACCGGACAGGTTGATTAATGTATAATCAACATCTCAAAAAAAATTCCTATGATAAAAAGTGTGTATGATTGTAAAATTTTGTAACAGCATAAAGCTTTATATCATTTCCGTTTTTAATGTTTTCATTAAGTGTATACTATAAGGTGTGGATACCATAGACTTATACAGATCAATCACAATGAGATAAATGCCATCGCTTCCGGTACATACATGAGACAAAAAAACGATACGTAAACGAGTTATAACATGACAATACGTGCCCATGACCTAATCTCATTCAATACAACAGTGACCTCGATATATTAATTTATTAAAAGGTTTAAATTTAAACTAGCGGCTCACCCTCTCTTCGCTCGGATTCGTACCTTGGTACATTTTAACAATTAGTATGGAATAGATAGACCATATATTACATATGTCGCATTTGGAGACAAATGAAAAACTTGATTTTGTAACTGTTAGGAACACTAGTTTATTGTAATTCTCATATGGATTGTTACAAATTAATATGAAATATATATTTTTATGCAAGCATCTTAGCGACGGCCAGGAGAGCGTGAGTGTTGCCATGATGGCGGAAACGGTACAGATTTATACAGATTATAAACAACATAAATAAAGTGACGTTCGAAAACTTATGATTTGAAATCTAAATTATTTTATATTACATAATATTATTATTATGTTAATATTGTATATTAATAACAACATAATTGTTTCTCCAACGTAAACTTGATTCGGGTACATAAAAAAGTTACGAGACTCATGCCCGATTTCATCAACAAGTCAACCCATAAGCTACCACCTACGTATGGGATCCCTAGCTAAAAACTTCCCCTAAACTAGACCCTATATTAAATTTCGTTTTACCATCATCAGAGCCCGTATTTCTAGTACCTATATTTAGGTGGCATTTTCCTAACTGTCGGTGAAACAGAAACTGTCCCCTAACAACCCCCTAACCATGCTTAGGGGAGTCCTTAAACTTAGATGACGTTGGTGAAATTGGCCAACAAATGACTATTTTGTAAGTTCATATATGAGGCAGATCAACAGTATTGGAAATAATTTTTATCATATTTTATGGAGACCGATCGTCTAGTTCCTAGGCAGAAATCCTGCTTAAAATTTCTTTCATGAAATTGTGTTTTTTCATCCACCTTTGAAGAGCGACTAGCTTTATACTCTGAATGCAATATGTAATGCAATGCATGCAATGCAGTAAAAATAAAAGGATTACACTCACCTGTTTAAATTAAGATTCATCACCATATTTTCTTTAGCGTTACTGCTATATCCTGAAACAACCAATTTACTGATTCAAATAAATATATTTAACACATGGCATTATAATAAAATAAATTAATATGTACATATATTTGTAGGTTTTATGTTACACATAGAATAATAATATAATTTTTTATTCTATATTTCTTTAAAATCTAATTTTCTCGAGTGTTTCATTACACGTAATATTATTTGAGCTTAATAGCTTTCTAGGCCACGTAAATCTTTGTAAAAGCTACTGCAGTATTTTTGGGGCAACTGCATAATATAATCTAGAACGGTTTTAATAAAATTTCATTTCAATAAGTCCAAGTGCCATTAAACTATAAAATAAAACTTATAGCAAGAAATTTTTACTAAGAAAAAAGTTAAATTATTTTGAAATGTGAAAGTAATACTTAAAAACATTTAATGAAAGTGTTATCGCACATGAAATTAACATTTTAAATTAATATTAGCTATCACAAGTTTTTACTTAATTTCCTGGTATCAGATTGAATTAAAAAAAATCATAACTATTCTTTTTTTATATAAAGTAACAATGAGCTGGTAAATCAATAATGGAGTAGTAATTACACTAAATCATTATTAAATAATATTATTCTACGTTTCTCATCATCATTCAACTTTTCAACTTGCATCGTTATGGTGTAAAAGTTCAATCGGACTGCTAAATTGTAAAAGTGAAAGCTTATATGTGTATGTTTGTTACTTCTTCTCCTCCTATGATGTTCTCCTAGCCGATTCCGGCTACGGCGGCCAATGTCATTGAGACTAGCCGACTGCGCAGGAGATATTATAGTGCACAAGTGTACGCGCAGACACAAGTGCACTCTCTATTCCTGTCACTCTCATACTCCGGTGGGACGACTGCTCGACACGACCAGTGAGAGTTAAGGCGCAGGACCGACGGCTTTACGTGCTCTCCGAGGCACGGGGGTGAAACACCGCCAACTTCCCAACTCCGGGCTGTTACTGAGACTTACTATACAGAAAGACTCAATAACTAAACTTGGCCCGACCCGGGACTCTAACCCAGGACCACCGAGTGTGCAGCCGTACATGCTAGCCACTACGCCACCGAGGCAGTTAGCACTCCTCCTACACCACTGAAACGGCTGGACAGATAGACAACGACCTGGAGGCTGGAGTAGCTTATATAAGGCTTCTTTTAGGCTACCTAAGACAATACTTTAAAAATATAGGAAATTATAAACTATGTTACTAAAAGTCTACATAAATTATTCAAATAAAATGTCACGTACCATTCGATTTTAAGTTCGATCCAAAAACTGTCCAAAGATTTATGAGTCATAAATCGTTGGATTATGTTTAATTCATTCACATTACGTGTCGTTGCTTTTAAAGGGCACGACTGCGATCGTAATTGGGGCTTTCGTTGTAAAACCGTAAATGGAAGACCAAGACAATATTAAAATTTCTATTTGTTATTCTAGAGCTTTTCTAATACATTTTGTTCGAGTAAATCAAGAGTAAGCTTTCTTTCACATACATAATAAGCTTTTTAAGCCGATACTTACAGTTTTATATGAATAGGTAAGTATATCTACCTAATATGTTCAGTTTCTTAATTTTGATAACACATAAATAAAATTACTTATAAATATAATTTATCTATACGTATAATGAAATTCTAACTGAGTCGAATCTATACATTACATATTTTTTGGAAAACCTTATTGAAATAGTCATTATTATCGATACTTTTTTGTCTGTTTGTCTGTCTGGGGGTTTGTTGATGAGGTATGATGGTAGCTAGGTATCCGGGTAAACATACAGGAAACTTTTACTGCTAGAAAATATCTCATCTCTGAGAAATCTATACTAAACGTTAAAACGTAACTAGGAATGAACCCGAGCGGAGCGAGGGTGAGTCGCTTTTTTTCTATGTAATTATACGCATAGATACAATTATATAAATAAGTCTGCATATCAAAATTAGGCAGGTCATAAAGGTTTTTTTTTGACATGGTTGTGCGAGTAGGTGTCATTACACCTGTCAATCTGTAACAACTGGTAGGTGACATTGACTTAATATATATGTCTTGTACTTAGTCAGATTTTTATAGAATGCCGTTACTGACGTTACTCAACTTTGTTTGCTGTCTGTTATACCTCATTCTTTTTCTTCTTTCCTCAAAACAAAACCATGTCACGAAGCTATTAAGAAAGCTCTAAGTTTTGTATCAGATTTCCTAGTACGGCAAATCGTAACGAATCGTTCATAGTCCTCTTACGTGCGCAGCCTATGAACAACGTCGTGCGTGCAGGCGGAAATTCTCAATGTGACCAATCTTCTGTTATATAGTATTATAATAGCATTGCCCGCGGCTCCGCCCGCGTTCAGATGACCAAAAATCAAATTCTTAGGCTTTACATATTAGTATAATCTTACATTGCAGTTTTTGTATTTTTTCTCAGAAATGAGATATTTTCCCGCGGTACAAAGTATCCTATATGTTGACCCGGATAACCAGCTATCACCATACCAAATTTCATCAAAATCCCTCCAGTGGTTTTTCTGTGATGCGGAGAGACAGACAGACAAAAATTCTAAAAACTATAGATTCGTCCTCTGTATCGATAATGATGTTTATTTCAATAAGATTTTCCAAAAAATTAATGTACAGAATCGGCTTAGTTACAATTTTATTATATGTATAGATTGTTATAAATGTAATTAAACTCGTGACTCTAGAACTATTATACTTTTACCTAAGCTGCGAATAACTTGAACTTTACAGCGTATATCAATTCATATTTGTTACTAGCGACTTAACCTTGTGTTAAATTAAATGGTTCTCCAATAATAGACAGATACTGTATGTTCCTTACAATTATTAATTGACGTTGAATTAAGCCTATCGTTACAATATACATTTTTTAACTTCTTTACACACAACCTCCGTCCTCTCTCACTTTTTATCAAAAAACCACCTTAATTTCCTTTTCATACCCTCATATTTTATTAATCTATGCATACTCGTATAATAAAATTGTAACTAAGTCGAATCTGTACATTAGATATTTTTTGGAAATTCTAATTGAAATAGACATTATTATCGATACAGAGTCGGAATTTTAGTATTTTTGTTTGTCTTTCTGTTACCGCATCACAAGAAAAACACTGGACAGATTTTGATGAAATTTGGTATGATGATAGCTGGTTATTCGGGTCAACATATAGGATACTTTTTACCGCGGAAAAATATTTCATTTCTGAGAAAAAATACAAAAGCTGCATTGTAAGGGTATACTAATATGTAAAACCTAAAAATTTGGCTTTTGGTCAACTGAACGCGGGCGGAGCCGCGGCCAATGCTAGTGTCATATAATTTTTAATCCCTGCACGACCGCGGACACGCCGCGCCGGCGTTACAGTTAACAATTTTAGAAAAATTAATTTATTAGAAATTTATCTGGAGGTGGTAGCTTTCAAATTTATTTTAATCAATGTCACAAAAATGAGTATAATAAATAATAATAAATAGTGTCATTAACACTTGTTTAACTCGGAAGCGTCCCTAGGTGCTTTTTGTATCCTTAATCCTGTGATACTACAGGCTATAGTCTGTGTACTAAATTTTATCGAAATCGATCCAGTCAAATACAGCGTAATAAGCATACACACGTGTAAAAACTTTCGCATTTATAATAGCAGAGTGATTTATCAAATTGTGGCGTAGTGTGCCACGTCATCTACTGCCACACAATCGTAGGTACTATTGCCCTGAGAGCAGCTGGCCCCGAACGGGGCAAATGTTTCAAACGACCGTAAAGAAGTCTGTCTATATCAGTTTGATTAAGATAATGGATTCACCGAGACTCATTCATTTAGATAAATATAATAATATATTATAATTTATATATCTAATTTTGTGTTTTATAGCGAGCGCAATGATATATCTTAATATATATAATGATTCTGTACGTGTGTTTGTTAACCTACTCCTACTAAAGGACTGGACCGATTTGGATGAAATTTTGTGTGTATACTTCAATGGGAAGGTCTTAAATTACAAATGGACCCGGTAGGTGGCGCTGCAGTCGGTGTGCCACTGGTCATCTAAAGGGCAGGGCGATTTTAATAATACACAAATGTATCCGGTAGGTGGCGCTGCAGTCGGTGTGTCACTAATTTGTCATAAAAGACTCCATTTTCCGAGCAATAAATAAATTTTAATTGTTGATTAAATAAAATAAAAATCGATATATGTTTCCTATGGACTTTAAAACAGCTGGAGCGATCTGATGAAATTTTCAGGTATTCTTCAGATTAGCCCAGCGGGCGATCTTGTGAATTTTGTTAGCGATCGGAAGTTTGGACGCGGGCGAAGCCGCGGGTACTGCTAGTATGGTATATATAATGTAAAATATTTTAAACCAAAACATTATTTATAATAATAAATAATAAGCCAGCCCTTTTAATGTCCCACTGCTGATACTCGGGTTTGAAGCAGCTTCATTTGGCATGTCAAGCAAGCTCGTTATCAATTGACTACCAGTGACTGATCTAACAACATCAAAGTAGACTAAAATATATATAAATTTAAAGTAAAAGCGATTACGTGATAACAAGCGCCAGATAAGTGGAGGAAGGACAATGAACCTGTTTTGAGATCGAAAAGGAAACTTGAAGTATTACAAGGTTTTTAAGATAAATTTATATTTTGGTTTAAATATTAATTTTAATGTCAACGAATAATTTTCGTTTCTTATGCTTGGATCATTTTGCAGCAATTCATATGTGTTTATTTTTGTCTTTCCTTAGAGTAATATTCTAATCTTTCGTTTCATTTAGAAGGTAGGTAGTATATATATATATATATATATTATATATATATATATATATATATATATATATATATATATATATATACTTACTACCTATACAATACGTAGATAGTATACATGATTTATATATATGTTGCCGACAAATTTTAACAAATGAAAATATAGTACTCAGATCTAAGAACAAAGATCAATGCTG